TATTGTAAAATAATTTTTTTATGTGTTTCACACCGTGTGTAAAATCAGTTGTGTAACATCAACGGTTCCTCCTGTTTATATAAAGTAGAGGGAGGTATTTTGGCGGAGTTAAATTTTATCAAAATTCACTGATAGAAAAAATATTAAAATTACAATTTTTATTGTAATATAATATAATCATTTATCTATTTAATTCTAAAATAGATAAAAAAATCAAGTTGACTTGTGTTTGCACAACTTTTATTAGTGCGTAGTAACTCCGATTGTCGGGAGGGTAAAGTGGCGGATCGACGGATTAATATAAAATTAAAGATATTAATATATAAATCTTAAAATTTACAATTTATTTAAAAAATAAGTTTACTGTATAACATAATATATATAATATATATATATATAATAATATATAGATATATAATAATATATATATAAATAATAATATATAGATATATAATAATATATAGATATATAGATGAATATTACTTAAATTTATAAATTATGCGATCAACAAACAGAAATACACCCAAGTTCGTTTTTATCTTTTTGAACCAATGTCATCAACATTCTCCATCCGATATTTTCATAGTTAAAATTATAAACCAAAGTATGTTCACGAGAAAATGTAGACCCTTTTCTTTGAATTTTAAAAAATACAATTTGTTGATGATTTGTTAAAAAAGCGAAAACTTTTTTTCTTGATTTTTGATTGTTAAGAACTTTGATTCCATAATTAAATACTTGTTCATAATGTCTTTTTTCTAATTTATCTCGTTTAAGTTCACCAACAATAATTACGTTTGAAGATGTAGGCTTAGAATTAAGTTCAGTTACAGAAACGTCAGGTTTATAACCATCTAAATAGGGCAAGCAGCAGGTATTGTGAGTTGAATATTTCCACTTTTTAGGTTTTACTAAATTAGAATAAATTTGATTAAATTGATTTATAAAATGTTTTTGATGTGTATCTTCATTTTGTTTTGCAGTTGGAGATGATTGAATATTTGAACTAATAGATGTTAATGATGTTAATGGAACATAAGAAAACCAATTATGAAAATAAGACCATTTGACATCTTCGATAAACTTATATTGTCTTTCAGCTTTTTCCATTCCTAAAGTTAGATTGGTATTAAAATTAAGAAATACATTGCAATAATAATAATATCGAAGCTACCTGCAAATTCTTTATTTAAATTGTCAATATGCCACTTCATTAAAGAATCTAATAAATAATTATTAGAAAAAGGAATAATATATATCATTAAAATAAAAAATTTTTTAGTGTACTAACTTTCTTTATTTTTTTCTTTAATTTCCTTTTGTAAATTCTTAATTTTTTCTTCTTGTTGACAAAACTGCTTTTCATATTCAAGATTTTGTTGTTCTAATTTCTTAATCAATTTAAGAAGCTCTTGCTTAGTTAATTTTGAAGAGTCAATATCATTCGTAGCTTTTAGGTCTATAATGTTGTTATAACCAAAATTTAGTTAAATGCTCATTTGTAGTGCTGCAAATAGCTTAAGCCAAACTACATGTCAAATGACTAAGTTTTCGGTAATGTAGCTCAAAATCTATCTGTTTCTGGATCACAAGCTAAAGATATTTAATAAATACAGCTAGGACAAAGTTTTACATTTGCTTTTATATTTTACACTTTCATCTAAGATCCAACTATAATAATTTGTCGATAGTATTGAATTATTAAAATGTAATGAAATGATAGTAAAAGGCTATAATAGTATTTCTTTTCTTTCAAAAATCCTACTCTTTGATTCTTAGTATATAAATAATATAAAGATATGGGGGTGAGTCAATAGAACACACCAAATCTTTTTTAATAAAACTTTTTAAATTTTAAATAAATATAACTCAACAAAAACTTGGTCAAATCTAGTAAAATTTTTTTTAAATAATTTCTATGAATTATTGGAATTTTTTTAAAAAAATTTTTATTAAATTTGATTAAGTTATTGTTAAGTTATTTTTGTTCAAAATTTTAAAAAAATTTACTTAGAAAAAAATTTGGTGCGTTTCTATTGACTCGCCCCCATATATCTCGTCGTTTGTTTAAGCAATAATTGTAACCTGTCTCCGTTGAGCCTATAAACGGCTTGAAGAACCAATCATCGGTTTACTAGCATAAGATATGATCCCAAGCTGAACTAGCCATTGCAGTACTACTCAATCAAAATTTTTATACCAAACTTGTTAATTACCTTCAATCTTAATGCCCTTCTTTTTATCCTCTTCTTTTTTAATAACTTTTTCAACTTTTATGTCTTTTTTTTCATCATCCTCTTGTTTAATAGCATTAAAATCATCAGCTTTAGAAGAAAGTGTTTTGGATAGTTTCTTATTCTCCAATTTACAGATAACGGTTTCTTTATCATTTATTTCATTGGAAGCTACGTAATAATGTCACGCTTGGTAAATATATGCGAAATGAAAATGCATTTGAACTCGTAAAGTCTTACCTCTAGTTAATGTTGCTACTGACATCTTGAAAGAATGAATAGAAGAATTTCAAGAAAATGAATAAGAAAAGAAATATTCGATTTTTTAGACTTCAGCTGATATGCACATATGCTATATATAATGATAAGCTGAATTAATTGCTATTTAGGTAAATTAATAGAATGCACCATATCCGAAATTTACACGACCATTGTTTCCTAATCCTTTTTTCATACGTGACTCGAAAATAATATCACTTGACTGTTGTTTGAGAAATTTCCCTTTACTGCTTTAATTAAATCCTTTTAATCCTTTAATGGTATTCACTTGCCTATATTAGGAAAATATGAACCGTTACATTAATACGTATTCCGATGTTTTACAGTTAAATGATATTTTGTAATTCGCATTTAACAAACTCGGAAGGTGAAACCAAATGTTTGTCGATAATATCCCAAAAAGATAAATGATAACAAAGAATGAAAGAATCATATGACCGCTCTAGAAAATCTGCGCCAGAATGACAAATTAAAAAAAATCTACTTAACGTGCCCACTGTATAATACACTCATAGAGACATAGCATTGTACTTTTATTAATAATAAAATAGCCTTAAACCTAAAACCACAAAATTAAACGAAGCGGAATTGCGCCTTTCGGAAATAAATAGGTGTTTTAAAAATTGAGAAAACGACAAATAAATGGGTGATCTGGTGACTTACATTTCACGGATTTTTAATTCATTTCTAAATGTAATAATCATCATGTGTATTTTAATAAATAATTAACATTAATAAAAGCAATCATGTAAATAAATGTCTGCGGAAATTGATTTAAAATAAAATAAAATTAGTAAATAGCTTATTCAAACAAAATATGTCACCTAAATAGATCCTCTCAATTCAACTCTGAACTCTAATATAAAAATTTAAATTTTTGGGGAACTTTTTTTAGCTTTTTTTTAGGTCAACCAAACCGTCTTGCAGGTAAATTTTAAATATTTATGATTGATCAGATCATAGTATTATAGTGTATATCGCAGTATATTTGATAGTGAGACAGTGTAAGAAGTAGATTTTTTTAGGTTCATATATTTAAAGAGCTAAGGCTCAGAGGTTCTCAAGCTCAACAGATTGGAGGCAAGTTTTAATAAGTCAATAATCGAATAAGCTGACCAAAAGAGTTAAAATCTTAGAACAGCATTTTGCACCGTGAATTTTAGCAAAACCGGTTCGTTATAAACATCATTTCAATTAATATTAATCGATTTAATCGATTAATGGCAAATATCATTTGCTTGAGAACCCCTTCAACATCAGTTGCCACTGTAACTAAACCAAATATACCTATTCATCCAATATTTTTATATGACTTGACATTCATTTCTGCAGGAAAAAACATCATATGGCACTCTATATAATTTTTGACCAATCAAAACTTAAATGTAACGTGACAGTCAAACTTTCAAAGTAAAGCTAATAAACCACGTTATACTGTAATTAAGCTTAATTAGCAACGTAACATCTATTAGTAAAATTTCTCGAACATATTTAATTAGACCGCATAAGGTGGTTTTCCTAATTAAATTTAGTGTTATCCTTATTTATTGTAAAAAAAAAAAAAAAAATAGTTTGAAATTCGATTGGTCAAAATTACGGGTGAACAATTTTTTGTGGATGCATTAGTTATTTTTTCATTTCCTAATATTGTATATTTAGAGTGAATAAAAAGATACAGTAATGTCAACAAATTAATTATTGAACCTAGCTGTAGGGATGTAAAATTACTGTAATTTTGTGTAATTTTACGTAAGTTTCCGTAAATTAGTATTTCATGTAATTTGTAATTTTGAACACAAGATATTAGTAAATTTTCGATGATTTGATGATTTACATTTCGGATAATATATTTAAATCAAATGATGCATAATGTTGGCCGTTCATTCGTAAAGTTGGTATTTCACGAAAATTACATGAAACCTTATTTACTGAAACTTATACGGTATTGTAAAATTGTAATTTATTAACAAAACCCTACCTAGCTGTCGCACAAAAGATGTACGGTAATTTGGCCTGCATTAAATTAATTTAAAAGGCCGATGATCTTCAAGATTCTTAATTTTGGCCGGAAATTAGTTTTTTTAATCAGTTGCTTGTCACGTGCTATTTCGATGAGGCAGTTGAACATTTATTTATTTCTTGCTTAAAAAAATTTAATTTTACATTACTTAATTTTGAATATCATTAAACAAGCTGCTTTCCTTAAATTTTAATTGACAATTGTTCATGAACAAAGTCAATTCTACGCCTTCAACTTGAAATAAATTCGACCAGGAAATCCAAGAAATTCGAACTTTAAAAAGTTAATGCATTTTCGATGAATGAAAATTATTTCGTAGCCCGGCTATGCTCAGTGATCAGTTCGGAAGGCTTGTTCCTTTCTGCAAGAAGAGTTAAATCTCTTAAATTTGATCACTGATTCACGAGATATCCTTAGTTGAACAGAAAAATAGTAGGAGAATCCTGACAAAAGACGAATTGAGGTATCTCAATCCGTCACAATATCCCTATTTCCTTACTTCACAACTATGACAATTTATACTTTAAAATATTAAATTCTGAAAATCAGCGAATATATAGTAGTATTTTTAATACAAACATTCAAACAAAGTATATGCTATACATCAATATAACATTTTGATGTGTATCTTCATTTTGTTTTGCAGTTGGAGATGATTGAATATTTGAACTAATAGATGTTAATGATGTTAA